TAATCGGGATGGGTGTGTCAGAGGCGGTGCGGTTGGCGCAGGATAGAGCAGGGTTTAGAGCTGTTGTGCATAGGGTCGCTATGAGTCGGAAACGACTCGAAGGCACATTAACAACAACATAGTGTAAAGTGGTCTGAATGATTAGAAAAAGGAAATTCTACCAGATTTATTGGAAAGTCAAAGATTGCACCATTCAGATGCAAAAGTGGTTCCAGGTGGCCTAGTCTGTACGGCTTTCCAGTGGTATGATTCTACCAGTGGCTCTTTGGGAGAAAGATGGACAATGCCCTCTCTTGCAATTTATAGCCTCTGAAAACTCAGAGGAGGGTCATCTGAGTTGGTTTTGACTCTACAGGAATGAAGAATTTGGGATGGGTTCTTGGGTGAATTCTGCTGTAAATAGTCTTGACATGAGATAGACAAATTTTATCAAAGAGAGCTATAAGGTTTTGTTAAGAAGAAAGAGAACTGACCTGAAACCCTGCTGTTAGAAGTGCCGTTGCCATCTCCTGGTTTCCAGTGCTTCCTTTCTGGGAAGGGATAGGACTTTGAGAAGCAGATGTGGCTGAGAGGAGAGAAATAAGCTATGACTCAGTGAGATCAGAACTATCTAATTGGCTGTGAGATACAGCATGAACCCCTGCCCAAACTGTTACTATTTCACAACAGATATGCATATCAAATATTCTGCATGTGAAATGCTAACAATCTGGGGTCTAAGTCTATGGATGCCCACAAAATATTTGTATAAAGTGTCAAAACCAGAAAATATAGGTGTTCCTTTCCAATTTCACTAACACCAAAGCTGTTTTTATACTTGTACTATACACAGTATTTCTTTAAGTTGTGGACTCTTGGCAATGTGAATATTAGATCCAATCCATCTCTATTAATTTCATTACCTTTTGGAAATGTCTGCCTTAACCATCAATATCTACTTCCTATATACACTATAAATTTACTATATTTCAACACAAATTACAATATTTCAGGCAATAAGCTTTAGGACTTTATACAAGAACTGTACTATTACAGAAACATTTCAGAAATAGTACCTTATTTATGTAGAATAAGTTGCTATAAATTGCACAAAACTGAAAATATTGAAAATACAAAATGCTGTACAAGATGAGACTAACACTTTGCTCTGTAAGAAAGGAAGAAAATTCTGAAAACTTGATAGAGATAGGTCAAAAGGATACAAGGAATTGAGGGGCCAAATTGGAAATAATTTAAACATCAAAATGAATCTTGTTGTTGTTACGTGCTGTCGAGTCGCTTGTGGCTCATAGTGACCCTATGTACAACAGCCCTAAACTCTGCTCTGTCCTGTGCCAACTGCACTATCTCTGACACACCCACCCCCATTACCCCAGTCACTGAATCAATCCACCTCATAGAGGGCCTTCCCCTCCTGTGCTGTCCCTCCACCCTACCAAGCATGATGTCCCTCTCCAAGGACCGGTCCCTCTTTACAACATGTCCAAAGTATGTTAGACGGAGCCCAAGAATCCTTGCCTCCAGGGAGCCGCCTGGTTTAACCCTTTCCAGGATGAATCTATTTTCCTAGCAGTGCATGGTACATTCAATACTCTTCTCCAGCACCACAGCTCAAAGGCATCAATTCTTCTATCCTCATTGTCCAACTCTCTGATGCATAACAAGTGATAGCAAAGACCATGGCCTGTATCAGAGACACACCTTAGTCTCCAGAGAGACACCATTGCTCTTCAGTACTTTGGAGAGGTCCCTAACAGAAGACTTTCCTATGGTAACACAGTATTTATAAAATTAAAAATTACAGGTGTATACTAATCAGATAACAATATGAGGGAGAAAGTGACCCTCTCCCTTAAAATACAAGGAAAAAACCCCAAACAACCTTATAAATATAGAAGAAATAATCAGCATTTTCTTATCAGCATCTTAATAATCAAGAAGAATCAATGAATGCTAAAAGAGCTTCTTTAAGCAACGCAAGATCAATGAAGAAGAGTGTATTAAAGTTCATTCAAGAGTAGCTCTCAACGAGTAACTTATTAATTACAAAAGAATAATAGTAACTTTATAAGGATTTATCTAATAAGAATAACTAAATCACCAAAGTTAACAGTACTAATGACAGGACAAACTTGTGTTCACATTACTTCTGCACTGTTCTTGTCATATATACTTAATTTGAACCTAAACACGAGAATGGCAGACAAACCCAAATTGAAGGCAATGCTACAAAATAACTTGCTTAAACTGTCCAAGATATGAAAGACAATGAAGAAAGGAAATGGACTTAGTACATTTAAAAACTAAATTTAAAGTCCAAATTAAAGACTAACGAGATATGATAACTAATGGCTATGTGTGGTCCTGGGATCTGGAGTATGGACCAAAAAAAACATGAGGACAACTGGTAAAATATGAGTATGTATTATGAACTAGGTAATAATACTGTATCAATGTTACACTTCCTAAATGTTATAAATTCATTGAGAATGCTCATTTGAGGAAACACTTATTAAAATGTTTACAAATGAAGTCATATGATGATATTAGCAAATAAATCTTCCAATTCTATAACTTCTTGCTCACTTCTTGGACTAACAGCCTACATTTGCTGCTTATATAAGCATTTAACTCAGATCTTGAGACTGGTGCATAATATATATGTTTGCTCTTTGTTCTCTAAGAGCTAGACTTGTGTCCTAAATGTACATTCTTCTCTTTGTTCTTCTCCCTCTTGTCACCAGTGCATTCTGAGGCCTCACCTCTCTCTTGTGGTCCCTGAGGGACTGGAGATTTGTGCTGGGTTGTGACAGGTTGGAGCTGAGTATCTGGAGTCTCTGTGGCAGATTCAGAATGCACAGCCTCCTTGCAGAGTAACCTATGTCCATGTACACGAGCTGGGACCTGAAACAATGAAGACAGCTGGATTATAATGGAATCCCTGTGATGTGTAGTGAATGATGTACAAGGACCAAGAAAGAGTACATCTCGAAGGATATATATTTGAAAAAGTAGAATCTCATATACTTTCTATGGGTATAAAGGAACACAAATATACAGAGTAAAACAGAAAAGAATTGTATCTGCTCAATAGCAAAGCACTATTTTTTGTTCAAATACAGAAAGAATGACAAAAAAAAAATACACTAGTGTTGTCCAGTGGAAAACGATAAGGACATAAGAAGTCCAAGTTCAGTCTCAGACTCACCTTCAATTATTTTGATATCATTGAGAAAGCTATTTAAGCTACCTAGGCAACAATTTCCCATCTGGCAAGTGGGAATAATACAACTGTAGGGGAAGTCCAAGGATACAAAAAATTCATTTATACTCTTAATGCCTTCCCCAGGTGTCAAACTCAAACCCAATCAAATCAACACTACAACTTTAACTAGTTTTATCCTTGTCCAACAGAAATCAATGTTTAGCATTTATTTTCCACCATAATTTTCCCTCCACCGAGCTTCCAGGATTTTGTCACAGCAAGCACACCTCTTTCTACTTACTGGCCGTCCTAGGATATCAATCTGCCTTTCCAAATCCTCCAACAGGGTTACCACTTCCTCTCCACTCTCCAGCTGATGTTCCTTAACCAGAGTGTGAAGCTCCTCAGGCAGGATAGTCAAGAACTGTTCCAACACCAACAGCTCCAGGATCTGTTCTTTGGTGTTCAAATCTGGCCTCAGCCACTGATGGCAGAGTGCTCGGAGCTGGATGAGAGCTTCCCGAGGTCCTAGTGTCTCTTGGTAGCATAACTGCCTGAAGCGTGCCCGGAACTGCTCTTGGTCAGGAGGGTTTTTATCATGCAGATTAGATTCCTGATCCCAACTATGATCTTCTACTTTGACAATTACTAAATCTTCAGGAGTTTGGCTAAGTGGGGACGGGGCTGAAGGCGTTCTTGATTCTGTAGCCATTTAAGGATAGAAAAGCTTAGAAGGCTTGTTTCTATTATTTTCTTTATCTTCTTAAAACAGAATTTTCCAAGGGTATTTCTGAAAAATGAGAAAATAACAGTGTGAAGGCAAACAGAAAGCTAAGGTAAATCACCAAAACTTTAACAAGCTCCTCATTATGTCATAATTCATGGCTCAATTATTTAACTTTCTCCACTGCCAAAATATGGCCTTTAGTTTATTCCACCTGAATTTAAAAATCATCTCAGAACAGGTTTGAGGTATTTAACACTAAGGATCAAAGACGAGGTAGACTGTGGGATGACATAAAAGATATTATCCCCGAAGAGTACAAAAGGTTGTTGTTACAAAAAGAGAGGAAGGAAGAAAGATCTAAATGATGTCAGAAGAAACTCTGAAAATTGCATAAGAGCGCTGAGAAACCAATACAAAGGGAAAAGATGTTGGAGTGAAAGTGATGAATAGAAGATTTTAAAGGGGAGCTTGAGAAGACAAAATAAAGTATTAAAATGGAATGTGCAATGAGCTGGAGTTGGAGAATAAAAAAGGAAGAACTTATTCAGCATTTCTCAAACTCAAACAGAAAAACAAATTTAAGCCTCACGTTACAATACTGAGAGATGCTATGGGTAAAACCTTGACTGATCCAGGAAGTAGTAAAAGAAGATGGAGGAAATACATGGAGTTACTGTAGAAAAATTGGTTGATACAGAAAAATTTCAGCAGATAGCCTATGATAAAGAGAAAACAGTGATTAGAGAAGTTCAAGCTATATGGAAGGCACTGGCAAAAGGTAAGGCCCCAGAAATTGATGGCTTATCAAATGACAAGTTCCAAGTAACAGATGCAGCCCTGGACGTACTTACCAGTCTGTGCCAGGAAATTTAGAAGGTAGCTACCTGGGCAACTGTATGGAAGAGATCCATATTTGTTGCCGTCCTCAAGAAAGGTGATCCAATAGAATGTAGAAATTATCAAACAATATCATTAATATCACATGCAAGCAAAACAGTGAAGATCATTCAGTAATGTCTGGAACAGTACACTGACAGAAAATTGGCAGTTCATGTTGGGTTTAGAAGAGGTCGTAGCACCAGGGATATCACTGTTGACGTCAGATGGATTCTGGCTGGAAGCAGAGAATACCAGAATGTCTATTTGAGTTTTCTTGACTATACAAAGGAATTGGGCTATGTGAATCATAATAAACTATGGCTAATATTAAGAAGAGGAATCCCAGAACACGTATTATGCTTATACGAAATCTATACTTAGACCAATATGCTGTTATATGAACAGAGCAAGGGAACACTGTAGGGTTTAAAATCAGGGCTATTATCTTTTCTCCATACTGATTCAATCTGTATGATGAGCAAGTAATCTGAGAAGCTGGACTTTATGAAGAAGAGCGTAGCATGAGGACTAAAGAAAGACTCAACCACAACCTACATTATGCTAATGATAACACCATGCTTACTGAAAGGGAGGAGGAAATAAATTATTTGCTGTAGAAAATCAGAGACTATAGATTTCACTATGGGTTACATCTCAACATCAAGAAAACAAAAATCTTCCCAACTAAGCCAATAGGCAACATTGTGATAAATGGAGACAAGACTGAAATTGTCAACACTTTCATCTTGCCTGGACCTATAATCAACACTCTTGTTAACTGTCAGTCAGGAGATCTGGAGACATGAAGCACTGGAAACTTCTGCTATCAGGGACCACTCCTGAGGCCCAATAAAGACTAAGGCACACCTGATTAAGGCTATGATCTTTTCAATAACCTTCTATGCATTTGAGCTGTGGTGTTGGAGAAAAGTGCTGAATATTCCACGAACTGCCAAAGAACAAAGAGGCCTTGGAGAAAATGGAACCAGGGTGGTCCTTGGAGGCAAGGATGGCAAAGCCTCATCTCACATATTTTAAACATGTTGTTAGAAAAGGCCATTCTTTGGAAAGGGACATCATGCTTGGAAAGGATGACAGGGATGGCATAAGATCAGGGTTCAGATCTGTTGTTCATAAGGTCATACTTGACTCAACAACAATTTCTTTAACTGTATCATGCCAATCACATCCAAGGGATAAATCTTCCCTTCCGTTTTCTCTAAGTGAGGATGTGGTATTTGGCTAAACAAAGTCAGGAGTCCGTAAACCAAGTACACTAGGTCCAAGTAGGCCTCAGTGCTGTTCACTGAACTTCTTTTAGAGTTTCCTGTATCAGCAGTACTATGCAGTTTCTAAAGAATCCAGCCTCAAACTTTCCTTTACTCTTAGTACATTATGACCAATTTTCATATAACCACCTTCTATATAACTCAAGGTATGCAATGTTAAGAATACCTCTATTTCATTTTAGCCAGAAATTGGGTGGTGCAGCCAAGACTGGGTAACCAACTGAAAGGGTGATGGTTCAAACCTACCACAGGGTGCCTCAAATGAAAACTCACTGCCATATAGTCAATTCCTACTTAGAGTGACTCTGCAGGGCAGAGCAGAAGCGCCCACCGCGTTTCCCAAGCTGAAATCTTTATGCAAGCAGATGGTATCTTCTTTTTCCCATGAAGCACGTAGTAGATTTCAAATGACATTTTGATTAAAAACCTCAATGTTTTAACCTTAGTGTCAAAAAACCTGCCAATATGCTTCCACAGGGTTGTAGGCATGTAAATTCCATGGAGGGCAGTTCTACTTTACAATGTGTAAGGTTGTAATGAGTTGGCATCAACAGGACGCCAAGTGATTAACACATATTCATTACATTACCTGTGCTTCCTATCTTTTTTCTCAACACTAACTTGTATTTTACAGGTCTCAGCTCCAGGTCTAGAATTACCTTGGACACTCACCAGTCTTGAACCTGAATGAACTGTTAACTTTACAGCCTACAAATACAATCTCTTCAGTTTTTTATTAAAAATAAAAGCTACTATAAACATACAAGTTTCTGTATAAACCTGTTTTAATTTCATGTGTAATTATCAAGAAATAGAGATGCCAGTCTTTTGGTATGTTGAACTTTATGGCAGTATATGAAAATTGTAATTACTCTGCATTCTGATCAGCACTCAGTATGGCCAGATTCATATTACTGAAGTTCGGTAGAGATGCACTGTCAATCCAAAGGTGGGTAGTTTGAATCCAACCAGCTGCTCCTCTGAAGAAAAATGGGTAATCTGTTCTTGTATGGTTTATAGCCTCTAAAAACTCACTAGAAGACTAGCTATGAATCAGTTCTGACTTGACAGAGAAAGAGAATGGAAGAGTAGTAGTATCAACTCACCATGGTTTTAGTCCTTGGAAAACAACATCATGCTTGGGCAAGTAGAGAAAGACTCAATGAGATGGACTGATACAAGTGACTGAAATAAGGCTTAAGCAGAGCATAGTTTGTGAAATGGTACAAGAGCTAGCAGAATATTGTTTTGTTGCAATGAGGCTTACTATTTACTCTTATATTTTGAAAGCTCCTCATACATTCTGGATACAAGGTGGCTTGTTTATTTTTTTTAAAAAAAGTCAGATATGTGATAATTATCCCCAGGCTGTAGTTTCTCTATCCATCTCTTAATGGTAACTTTCAAAAGCAGTTCATTTTTTTTTTTTTTTAAATCTCACCTTAATAAATTTTTTTCTGCCTAACACAAGGTAGCAAAGGTTTTTCTCCCAAAAGTTGTATAGTTTTACATAGTGGCTATGATTTATTGAATGAAATGTAATAGTTTGTAGCAAGTGGATAAAAAGATCTCACTGTCTGTTCAATTGCCTTTATGATTTTATAAAAAAGCAACTGGTTCTAGTCTGGAATTTTTATTCTGTTCCATTATCCTATCTCCTTTTTACCGAAATGAGTTATTGGAGCTTTTTAAGTCTTGAACTTAAGACATTGTTTTGACGATTCTAGTTCTGTAATTTTAAAAATAGCATGTCTGTTCCTACAAAAGATTAAGAGAACTAGGTTTGTGCGGAATCTATAGTTTGGAAACTATATCTTAATATTACGGACTTTTCCATTTCATAAACATGGTTTATCTCTCATTTATTTCTTTCATGAGTCCCAAACTACCTTTTCTTAAAGGACAGGATAAAATACAGTCTATTATGAAATTTTTTTTTTCAGAATTGGAATTGGTTCCTTTATGGAAAAACTGAAAATATAATAGAAATTAAAACCAGTTTTAAAAAAGCCAGCCCCTGGAGTTCCCACCTACTGCCTCTGACCCTCCAGAGGGATGAGACCCCCAACCCCAGGGCAGCTGAAGGCAGGCTTTCTGTTCCTCCTTTCCCCCAATTCTATTCCCACCATTATCTCCACAGTGGGGGCCCCTGGGAGGAACCAAACCTGGGTGGAGTGCGAGGGCCCAAGGCCTCATCGCCTGCCGGGGAGGGAGGCTTGGTGCACCCAGTCCCAGAGCTCCCGGCCTGTAGTGTGGGCATGGGCAGGGCCCCTCCCAGCCTGAGCCCAGTTGGGGTTGGGGTGGTTAGTTCCAGATCTTGAGGAAGGAGTCCCAGGAACCTATGGCCACAGCCATGCCATCATCAGTGACCCCAAGGCAGCTCACACGGTTGTCATGGCCAGCAAGGACACCTGCACAGTCATCCTTCATGGCATCTCAGATGTTGCAGTTGAAGTCACTGTAGCCAGCAAGCAGCAGCCGCCCACTACGTGAGAAGGCAACGGAGGTGGTGCCACAGATGATGTTGTCGTAAGAATACACGAGCAGCTCTTGATCAGCGTGAAGGTCAAAAAGGTAGCAGGTAGCATCATCGGAGCCAGTGGTAAAGGCGTAGCCATTGGAGAAGAATGCTACAGCATTGATGTCGGACTCGCGGCCAACGAAGGTCTGTTGGCACATAGAGTCCCAGATGTCCCACAGCTTGATGAAGGCATCACAGGCACCTGACACGGAGGTGCGCCCATCGGGGGCCAGTGATAGGGACATTAGACCCCCACTGTGTCCTGCAAAACATACCGTCTGCTGGCCTGTCTTAATGTCCCATAGGGCACAAGTGGTTATCTCCAGAGCTGGTGATAATTTGGTTGTCATCAAGGAATTGGCAGCATGACAGGTACCC